TTCCATTGCATTTGGGGTGCATTTATCAGGTTTCCGGAGCTTATGGCGAAGGAGGGACCGGAGGTGATGATCGGAGATGGACCAGAAGGAGATCGGAGTAATCGGATGGCAAAACAAGCAAGACGGAACAGAGCCTTGAGCAAAAGGAAACAGAGTGCTTGAGGAAGTTGCTCAAGCTGCGCGCATCTGTGAAGTCAAAGCAAAAACGTTGACCAAAGGATACACTTTTCCCTTCTCTATATAAACCTTTAAGACCTAATTTTAGGCAATCTTTATCTTGTAACCAGTTTCTCTCCAAGAAAAACAGTTTGTTCTTGGAGATCTTTTGTAAGCTTTTACTTTGAATCTTTTAAGTTTAAGAAGTACTTAGTTTGCTAATCTTGTCTTAATGATGATTTCTAGCTTTCTTTACCTCTTTGCTTTCGGTTCGAGTATGAGTAGCGAGTAGTTCTTTAGAGGTTTCGAGGGTGAGATTAGGAAAGGTCAGAGCTTTAGCTTCCTGTTAACCTCTTCCTTAATCTCCCTTGACCAGCTTTTCTTTAGCTAGAGCTTTATATCTCGGCTTCTTCTTGATCACTTGAAGTCGCGAATCTAGGCTAGTACACCTAGAAGGTGTTTGCGTTAATGCCTAAGAGAGCTAGCGATAGAGAGAAACATTCCCAACCTAAGAGATTGGTTGTTGGGATGTATCTTGTGCATTTTAGACTAGATCTTGTGAAAGCTTGTAACTTTGAGTCCACTAGCGAGAGCTAGCTTTGGATTCTCAGCTTGCAAAGCGATCTGACCACGAGAGTGGCAGATTTACCCAAAGTCTAAGCACAAAGCTTGAGTCTTGGTGTGTTGAGAAAGGAAGGTTGAGCTCGTTGATCCCAACTAAGTCTCACCCAAGACGCCTCCTTTATCTTTTATTGTCAAAGTTTAAATCTTTATTTCATCTTGTTAGCTTAAAGCATAGATCTTTACAAAACAAAACCCAATCTTTTATCGAAACTTGATCTTTGCCTTTTCTTTATTTCGATAAGTTTAAATCTCCACTTGGATTGACATCTCAAGTACTACAATGACATGAGTGGTATGGATTGAGAGTAGTTGATACAAAAATCCTACTTATCAACTTGGCGCCGTTGCCAAAGTGGAGACTTTTAAGCATTTCGTTTTCAAGAAAAACCTTAGATTAAGTCGGTTTTGCTCTATCTTGCCTAAAGTCGCTAACTTTCTGTGAAACCTCTCATCTTTGACCTCAGGTGTATGCACACCAGATCCAAAGGACGAGACAACCTCCTAAGTACAAGCGATCTTGACAAAGCAGAGCAAAACAAACGGTCACGCAGAGTTACTTCGCGAACCAGAAGACAAGAGGTTCCGGACATGGCAGCCCAACCCCAACAGGAAGGATTCCCACCCGGACCGGAACAACAAGGTGGTCAGCGAAACAATCCACCTCTGCGACCTCACCGTCAAATAGGTGCCGGCGATGCACCTAACACTCACGAAAACCGTCAAGGCATAGCCCCGCCGAATGTGCACAACAACTTCGAAATCAAACCGCACATTCTGCATCAAGTCCAACAAAAGATCTATCACGGTCTACCTGAGGAAGACCCGTTGGACCATCTTGACGAGTTTGACAGAGCATGTGATTTGATCACACAGAATGGGGTAAGCGAAGACGCAACCAAACTTCGTTTATTCCCATTCTCACTTGATGGCAAAGCTCGCCAATGGGAAAAGACGATACCTCGAGGGTCCATCACAAGCTGGGATCAGTGCAAGAAAGCCTTCTTGGCTAAGTTCTTCTCCTCAGTCAGAACTGCAAGCTTCAGAACCAACATCTCAAGCTTCGCACAAAAGCACGGCGAGAGTTTCACAGACGCCTGGGAACGCTTCAAAGGATATCAGTCGAAGTGCCCACACCACGGTTTCTCTCAAGAGTCACTCTTAAGCACTCTATACCGTGGTGTACTGCCTCGCTTTAGGCAGATGCTTGACACAGCAAGCCAAGGCAACTTCTTGGCCAGAGACGTCGACGACGGTCTTTTTTGGTGGAAAACATGGCAATGAGCAATGGTACATACGGCGAAGATCATGACCGCACAAACAGAGGATCCGTCGAAGCAGAGGAAAAGCACAAGAAGGAACTGAAAGTGCTGAACGACAAGCTTGACAAACTGCTTATAGTCCAGCAAAAACAGTCGGTACACATGCTGGAGGAACGTGATGACGATCAAGAGGAGGAGTTTACACTGAGGACGTCAACTACATTCATAGCCAGGGTTACTACAAGAACAACCCCAATATGTCCTATCGAAGCACGAATGTAGAGAACCCCCAGGACCAAGTCTATCCTCCTCAAGCCAACACGTCTGGTCAAGGAAAGATGTACCCAACTAAACCACGTGATGGGTACAACAAAAATTACCAAGGAGGCTATCAGAAAAACACCTCTGTTCCACCTGGATTCGAAGCTAAGCAAGGTCCACAGAACCTGGAGTCAAGCAGATGCTTCAGCAACTACTTCAGGGACAGTCTACCGGAAACGTGGATCTCAACAAGCGACTCTCTGAGATCAATGGGAGAATTGACTTCTCGCACCACGACCTTCAGACTAAGATTGAAGCTCTCACAAGTAGAATCCATCAGCTTGAACACAAAGGCGGAACAGCTTCCTCATCCAGAACGCAAGGTCAACTTCCGGGTAAAGCAGAGCAGAATCCCAAGGAATACGTACAAGCAATTACATTGAGAAGTGGACGCGCTTTACCTCCAAGAACAGGACCCGCACCAGTCAATGAGGACATTGAGGAACAAGAGGAGGAGATTTCAGTTGAAACTGAAGCCAGCACCTGTGATTGAAGAGGAACCACCAGTTCAAGAGAAAGAGAAAGCACCAGAGGAAGTGCAAAAGAAGAAGAAAGCCCCAGCTTTCGTTCCTCCTCCTTACAAACCGCAACTTCCCTTTCCTGTTCGATTCAAGAAACAACAGCTTGAGAAAGCTAGAGCCCTGTTTGATAAGCAAATAAAGGAGATTGATATTACAATGCCCTTCTTGGACGCATGTATGCTCATCCCTCCCTATCAGAAATTTCTCAAGGACGCTGTAACCGAGAGAGAAAAGAGGTTCAGGGCATGGTCGTTCTTTCTCAGGAATGTAGTGCAATCATCACTAGGAAAGTGGTTGGGAAGAAGTTTGAAGATCCGGGCAGTTTCACTCTTCCTTGTTCTATTGGTCCTCTGGCATTCAACCGAAGCTTGTGTGATCTTGGAGCAGGCGTATCTGTAATGCCACTCACGGTAGCTAAAAGGCTTGGGTTCGAGAAGTATCAAAAGTGCGACGTTTCCTTGGTACTTGCGGATAGATCAGTACGCATCCCAGTGGGTATGCTCGAGGACTTGCCTGTGCGAGTAGGAAACGTGGAGATACCCACTGACTTTGTTATCCTTGAGATGGACGAAGAACCCAAGGATCCGCTGATCTTGGGAAGGCCCTTTTTGGCAACCGCTGGAGCTATCATCGATGTTCAGAGAGGGAAGATTGAGCTAAACTTTGGAGATGACTTCAAGCTCAGCTTCGACATCAAGAGATCGATGAAGAAACCAACCATTGATGGACAGCTCTTCTGGGTAGAGACTTTGGATCAGTTGGCAGACGAGTATCTAGAGGAGTTAGCCACAGAGGACCAGCTTCAGCTAACCTTGACTGAGAAAGCGGAGGAAAAGAGCTACTTCAACACCGAATCCTTGGAGTATGCTCGACTCTTAGACTCCCACAGAGGGACTGTTCCCAATGACGTGGTTGAGGAAATCATAGGACGCTCCGTGAGAGTTGAGGAAATCCACAAGGTAGAGGCAGAGCACGACCTCGAGCAACCTTCAGACGATGACTGGAGCGAGCTCAAAGCCCCAAAGGTGGACCTCAAGACCTTACCAGATGGGCTAAGGTACGCATTTCTTGGACCAAATTCAACTTATCCCGTAATTGTGAACCAAGAACTTACCCCACCCCAATTAACCTCCCTCCTTAATGAGTTGAGGAAGTTCAGGAGAGCAATTGGTTACTCTTTAGAGGACATCAAAGGCATATCTCCTGAGCTTTGTACTCATCGCATTCACCTTGATAACGAATCTAAGGGATCTATTGAACACCAAAGACGCTTAAATCCCAACCTCAAAGAGGTGGTGAAAAAGGAAATCCTTAAGTTGCTTGACGCCGGCGTGATCTACCCTATCTCGGATAGTACTTGGGTCTCGCCGGTACACTGTGTGCCCAAGAAAGGTGGAATCACAGTAGTCAAGAACGAAAAAGACGAAATGATCCCAACCAGAACCATAACCGGTCACCGAATGTGCATAGATTACCGAAAGCTCAATGCGGCGACTAGGAAGGATCATTTTCCACTGCCTTTCATCGATCAGATGCTTGAGCGGTTGGCAAACCATCCTTTCTATTGCTTCCTTGATGGCTATTCGGGATTCTTTCAAATCCCCATCCACCCTAATGACCAAGAGAAAACACCTTCACATGTCCCTATGGAACTTTTGCCTATAAACGTATGCCCTTTGGATTGTGTAACGCTCCGGCGACTTTCCAAAGGTGCATGACGTCATCTTTTCGGACTTGATTGAGGACACTGTTGAAGTGTTTATGGATGACTTTTCTGTCTATGGCAGTTCCTTTGTGTCTTGTTTGTCCAACTTGTGCAGGGTTCTCAAGCGCTGCGAGGAGACGAACCTAGTGCTCAATTGGGAGAAGTGTCACTTTATGGTCAGGGAAGGGATCGTCTTGGGACACAAGATATCAGAAAAGGGGATAGAGGTTGATCAAGCAAAGATTGAGGTGATGAGTCAGCTTGCTCCACCAAAGACAGTCAAGGACGTGAGAAGTTTCCTTGGGCACGCTGGTTTCTATCGGAGATTTATCAAGGACTTCTCCAAAATAGCTCGTCCTTTGACACGCCTCTTGTGCAAGGAGACTGAGTTCCTGTTTGACGAGGAGTGCCTTAAGGCATTTGAGATGATCAAGACTGCCTTGGTCACGGCCCCGATTGTGCAAGCACCAAACTGGGACTACCCTTTCGAGATCATGTGTGACGCTAGTGACTACGCCGTGGGAGCTGTGCTTGGCCAGAGGATAGACAAAAAGCTCCACGTGATATATTACGCAAGCAGAACCATGGACGATGCCCAAGGACGATACGCAACAACTGAGAAAGAGCTCTTGGCAGTAGTCTTTGCGTTCGAGAAGTTCAGAAGTTATCTCGTGGGTTCAAAGGTGATAGTCTACACTGATCATGCAGCCTTGAGACATCTGTTGGCAAAGAAGGACACCAAGCCAAGGCTCCTGAGATGGATACTTCTTCTCCAGGAATTCGATCTCGAAATTTTGGATAAGAAAGGGGTTGAGAACGGAGTTGCGGATCATCTCTCGAGGATGAGAGTAAATGAACCGGCACCTATCGACGATACTCTGCCTGAGGAACAGCTACTCTTGGTGGAAGTCTGGGAAAAGCGTAGGTTTGGCAGTTCGGTTAGAGCAGTTGAAGGCAGTTGAGGAAAAGGAAGCGCCTTGGTATGCAGATTACGCCAACTACTTGGTGTGTGGAGAAGTGCCAGCCGACCTATCTCCTTACCAGAAGAAGAAGTTCTTCAGGGACATCTCACATTACTTTTGGGACGAACCATACCTGTTCAAGAGAGGATCAGATGGTCTGTTTAGGAGGTGCATAGCTCAGGAGGAAGTAGAAGGAATACTCGAGCATTGTCACGGATCGAGCTACGGAGGTCACTTTGCGACTTTCAAAACAGCTTCCAAAGTTCTTCAAGCCGGATTCTGGTGGCCAAGCCTTTTCAAAGACACTCACGACTTCATTGCAAGGTGTGATAGATGCCAACGAGAAGGGAGCATTTCCAAGCGCAATGAAATGCCACAAAACCCGATACTTGAGGTGGAAGTGTTTGATGTATGGGGCATCGACTTCATGGGCCCCTTTGAGCCACCTTCTCATGGGAATAGATACATCCTAGTGGCAGTTGACTATGTGTCCAAGTGGGTCGAGGCAATCGCTTCCCCAACGAACGATGCCAAGGTTGTGCTCAAGCTGTTCAAAAGCATCATCTTCCCGAGATATGGAGTGCCAAGGGTTGTAATAAGCGATGGAGGAAGCCACTTTATCAACAAAGTCTTCGAGAACTTGTTGAAGAAGTATGGAGTCAAGCATAAGGTAGCGACACCATACCATCCTCAGACAAGTGGTCAAGTGGAAGTGTCGAACAAGCAGATAAAGGGGATCCTCAGGACGATTGTGGGAGTCACCAAGAAGGACTGGGCAGTTAAGTTGGACGACGCTCTCTGGGCTTACAGGACCGCCTATAAGACGCCAATAGGAAGGACACCTTTCTCGCTCCTTTACGGGAAATCGTGTCACCTTCCGGTGGAGATTGAGTACAGAGCACTCTGGGCAATCAAACTGCTCAACTTCGACATCAGGTCTGCCCAAGAGAAGAGGGGTTTCGACTTACATGAGTTGGAAGAGATCAGGCTGGACGCATATGAGAGCTCCAAGATTTACAAAGAACGGACTAAGGCATTTCACGACAAGAAAATTGTGCCTAAGGTCTTCAAGGTTGGAGAATATGCGCTGCTTTTCAACTCGAGAGCTAAGTTGTTCCCTGGGAAGCTCAAGTCCAAGTGGTCGGGCCCGTTTGAGATTAAGGACGTCCTTCCTTATGGAGCTGTCACTTTGCTTAACAACAATGGCGAGGAGTTCACGGTGAATGGCCACAAGCTCAAACCGTATTTGGGCCAACGCATTCAAGGAGAAGGAGTCTCAACTCCTCTTCCGGACGCTCCCTTAGCCTAAAAGGTTATGAAAGTCAAGCTATGGGACTCAAAACAAGCTCACTTGGGAGGAAGTCCCATGGTTATCTTTGTATATATTTATTTTTGCTTAATCTTTCTTGTTTTAGCTTTTATAAGTGCTCAGGTGTATAGATGAAGGAAGTGTTCGGTCAGCCTGACGATAAGCTTGAGCAAACTGATCAAGAAGAACGATGCAACGATTTTTGAAAAGACTTAGGCTTTTTCTCAAAAATCGTTGCCAGGTAAGCCCATTCCTGTTTATAAGGCCCAAATGAAAACAGTTTTTGATCGAGTTTTATCCGGAATTTTGTCTCGGTTTGAAAAGAAAAAGAAAAAAAAAAGGAGAAAAAGGAACGTGGGAGAGAGAAAGTAGTCAATTGGGGAAGTTGTGATTTGACAGCGGTTTTAATCCAAATCCTTTCGATTTTTCCGCAACCCCATCTCTCTCTTACTTTACCTTTTACAAAACCGAGACAAGCCAAACATCTCTCTTTCATACTTCTCCTTTTTCCCGATTTGTGAAAAGAAAAATCTCCATCTTTCTCTCTACTATTTCGCTCTTTCTTCTTCACTTTCAAACCGTTTTCTGCGCTCAACCGGTAATTTCTCCGACTTTGGCTAGATTTGGTTTTGATTTTCGCTTAGTAGAGGTTAGATTTGTTTCGGGTTAAGGTTGAAAGAGAGATTTTGAGTTTGGATTTTTGAAAACTGTTTTGCATGTCTCTGTTTTTCCGAGATTTGAGTTCACCGCCGGTTTTAATCGACCTTTTTAGTTGAGATCTGTCTAAAGCTTTGATTTTTTCGAATCTCAACTCTTGATCTTGTTTCTTTTCTTTGCTTGACATTGTTTGGCTGGAGTACTCTGATGTACTTGCATTTTACATAGTTTTAGCACATCTTTTATGCATCTTTTGCATAGTTTTAGCTTCCATTTGCATCATATCTTGTTCCTTTTCTCTTCTTATGCATTCATGTTAGTTTTAGGTTGCATTTGCATACATATGCATGTTTGGTCCTTTGAAATAGGTCTTTTGGAGCATTCTGGAGCATATGGGACATGAGGAGCATGGAGGGACTTGGCACATGGACGCAGCTCAACTGGATACGCAAAGGAAGAAGGGAGAAGCCATCTTGAAGACCAGCTCGACCGTCTACTCGACCAACCGGTCGAGTTCCTCAACTCGACCGGCCAAGCTTCAACTCGATCGAGCTGAGAAGTCAACAGTCAAACCCGAAAAATGTTGCTTCCCCCTTGACTTTCCTTTGACCCTAAACCTAATCCTCTTTGTATTTAAGGGCTAAAAGCCACGAAAAAACCACCAAGCTTTAGATTACTTTTGTTTTAGTTTCTTTTAATTTATTGTCTTTTACTTTTTAGAGAGCTCTAATCCCATCTTTGTGTTCTTGAAGCTCTTGCTTCTTGAATCTAGATCCTGGATAATCTCTCTTGTATTTGCACTTGCTTATTTCAATAAAAGTTGTTTAATTTCATCTCCTCTTTCTTATGATGTCTCTTTTATTGCATTTGCTTGTGTTTACATTCATGTGTAGTGAGTAGTTACCCATTGGGTTTGAGATGGGATAGATTAGAGGTTTCATATGCTTAATCCTTCTAGCTTATGGTCTTAATCTAGATTCTCTCTCTTTTGGATAGATCTTAAGGCTACATGACCACTACCCCTGGCTTGTAAGTCCTTAGGCGATTCTCCCACACGAAAGTGATGGCATTCGCTGGAAAAGATCCACTAAGAGCTCCAATATCTCTTGCTCTAGAAATAGAGGTCTAAGGGGTTGGATGGATTAGTTTGGGCAATGATCCTATAGCCTCCAAGGTTGATTCTCACTGGCTAACCCCCTGTTTCTGAGATCATTCCTTGGTTGATAGCCTCCACCTTGGGAAAGGGTTGGCTAGGCATTGAGAAGCCCAATATCAAGAGAAGCCTTGATACAAGGAGTTTTAAGAGCTGGATGGATTAAGTGTAGTTTCCTCTGATTGGATTAAGTGTAGTTTCATATTCTCATAGAGTTACAAGTTTTCCCATCTTGGATTGATAACCCTTTGTACTACATCAGCTATCATGGTTAAAGGGAATTGTTGACTGTGTTTGTGTTTGCATTTTACCACCTCATCATATACCACTGATTGCATTCCACACATCTCATCTCATATCTTTTCACATCCACACACAAATCCTATCATCAATTTGGCGCCGTTGCCGATTTGGGAATATTTTTGTTGCATTTGAGTTTCAAACATACTTGGACGATCAAGCTATACCACCCCTGTTCTATTGTACTGCTGGGTTTTTGTCTCTTTTTGCAGGTGTATGCGAACTCGATCGAGTCGGTCTATTGAGGACTTGGTCGAGCTAGACTTTACAACGGGTAGAAAGAAGGGTTCAGAGGTCACAGAGGGTACAAGGGAACCTGAGGTGCTTGTTGCTGATACAATGGATGTACCAGAGGGGAATGGAAACCCTTTGGGCAATGGACTCGGTCGAGCTAGGCAAACTCGACCGATTGGTCAAGGAGATGCTCCAAACCGCCACCAACAGAGACAAGGGATTGTTCCACCACCAGTGCAGAACCACAACTTTGAGATCAAGCTGGGAATGATCAACCTTGTCCAGAACAAGATGTTCCATGGATTGCCAAGTGAAGACCCCATTGACCACCTTGATGAGTTTGATAGGCTTTGTGATTTGACAAAGATCAATGGTGTCTCTGAAGATGCCATCAAGCTGAGACTCTTTCCTATGTCTCTAGCTGACAAAGCTCACCAATGGGAGAAGAGCTTGCCCCATGGCACAATCACCACTTGGGATGAATGCAAGAAGGCCTTTCTTGCTAAGTTTTTCTCCACCGGTCGCACAGCCAAGCTTAGAGGAGAGATATCCAGCTTCATCCAGCGAAACAATGAGACATTCGCAGAGGCTTGGGAGAGGTTCAAAGGGTACACAAGTCAGTGCCCACACCATGGATTCAACAATGAATCACTACTCTCTACTCTTTATAGAGGATGCTTGCCTAGGTATAGGGAGATGCTAGACACAGCTAGCAATGGGAACTTCCTCAACCAGGATGTAGATGATGGCTGGCAACTTGTGGAGAACATAGCTAACTCAAATGGAAGCTATGGAGAAGAGTATGATCGCACCAATCGGAGCTCGACCCACCACTCGATCGAGTCAGACAAAAAGTTGAGAAAAGATGTTAAGGCATTGAATGAGAAGTTGGATAAGCTGATCCTAGCTCAGTCCACAATGAAGAAAGTCAACTTTGTGTCTGCTGAGGAGATGGAACCAGTCCAAGAAGGGGAGGATACACAATTTGCTGAGGTGTGCTACATGAGCAATGGGCAAGGAGGTTACAACAAAGGATACTATAATTACAAGTCCAACCCTGCCATGTCATACCGCAACACTGATGTTGCTAACCCTCAGGACCAAGTATATCCTCAACAACAAGCAGCTCGATCGAGTCAGGTGCCACAACATGGGTATGGTCAAAAGAACAATTACCAAGGACCACAAGGCACTTTCCCTGGACAACAAATGAATATCCACCAGGCTTCCCCACCAACCGCCCCAGCCTGCACCTTCACAAGAGAATGAGCTCAAGGCAATGCTAAAGCAACTACTTCAAGGGCAAGCTGATGGGGTAGTGGACACAAGCAAGAAGCTAGCTGAAATAAACTCTAAGATCGAGAACCTCAACACAAGGGTTTACTCTCTGGAGAATCATGCTTCTTCTGTTGCTGCTGCTACAAAGCAAGGACAACTACCTGGTAAAGCTATTCAGAACCCCAAGGAACAGTGCAAGGTCATCTTCACTCAAGAAGGACTTGTTGAAGAAGAGGATCAAGAAAGGGTCATTGAAGATTTTTGTTTACTGCTGAATGATGAAGAGATTGTTGCTGCTGAGGCTCCTGGAGTCCAGATTGATCAACCAGAAGTGCAGGCACCTACTGTGGCCATTCACACTTCACCAGTTGAGCTCGCACAACAAGCTCGATCGGCAGCTCGATCGAGTCCAACTCTAGCTCGATCGAGTCCGACCTCTTCTGTCCGACAGCCATTTTGCTTGATCCTTACCAACCGGTTGCCGCTTCCTCGTCTCGCCTACTTAGTCAAGGTCACAAGGAAGTGATTCACAAGTTCAGAAGAGATCTCAGTGGGATTGGAATTGAGTTGCCTCCTATGGATAGCATGAGTGAGGCATTTGATCAAATGCAAATGGTCAAGGATGTTCTAGCCAACAGTGATAAAGTTTCAGAGGTCCTACAAGAGTCTACTCATCAGTTCAACCTGCTTACTTCACCCACCTTCCTACCAAAGGTCAAGGATCAAGGGAAATTCACTCTCCCTTGCACACTTGGGCATCTTGAGATTGACAATGCCTTAGTGGATTCTGGAGCAAGCATCAATCTGATCTCTCTCTCCATGGCAGAGAAGCTAGGCATTGCTGGAGCCTTGCAGCGCCCTACTACTTCAATCATGTTTGGAGATGCAACTTCTAAGTCTCCTCTTGGAGTGTTCAAGAACTATCACTTGAAAATTGGAGAATGCATCATCCAAACTGATCTCACTGTGATGGAAATGGAAGAAGAGAAGGATTTGCCTCTGTTATTGGGAACCCCTTTCCTTAGTACAGTTGGCGCTTCAATAGACTTTCACAAGCAAGAAGTGATCCTTCACAAGGTGAATAGTTTGGTGTCATATCGCTTGCAGCCTAGAGGTTCAGACTTTTGTGCCACAATTGACAGTACCACTCTCAGTTCTAAGAGTCATGGAGCTACAAAGGTTGTGAAGGAAAGGGTTGACAAAGAACCAAGAGTTGGGAAGGATAAGGATGAGAGAGGACCAAGGATTGAGAAGCCACGTCTTGAGAGGGCTAGAGTTGAGAAACCACGTCTGATAGACCACGAGCTGATCGACTTGTTCAAGCCCCTTGTGTGCTTGATGAAGAGAGCCTTCAAGCTTTGTTTGATGAGCCACTAGGAAGGGCTCTAAAAGAAGGGGAGGATGTAGCCTCTAAGGCAAGACCAGGGGATAAAAGAAAGGATCCACCAGCTCAGGCCCCTTCAGTCAAGCCATCTCAGCTCACAATGACTTTGTTCCCCACCAAGTTTGAAAATGGGAAGATTGAGTACAAGATAAGGTACAAGGGGAGATCAAGGCCATTCTCTAGAGCCAAGCCTTGGTGACTTCAGAACAGTCCAGGGACCCAACCAAGCTAAAGGAGCTTCTGTCTCAAGTCCTCACTATCACCCTTGATGGTGGGACTAGCTCAACCAATGCCTAAGAAGGTAAAGGTCAAGCTATGGGACCTTAAACAAGCTCACTTGGGAGGAAGTCCCATGTTTATCCTTGTACATATTCTATTTATGCAATTTCTATCTATCTTTATGTTTTAACCTTTGAATAAGTTAAGTTTAGGTGTCAAAGGAGCCAGCTCGACCGACAGCTCGATCGAGCTAGAAACCAGGGCAACTCGATCGAGTTCCTCAACTCGACCGAGGTAAGTTTTTGAATTTCAAATTCTAACCGTTTTCTTGGTCAAGGGAGTGGGTCCCACAAGCTGATTTTGGTCCCCCACTACCCTAATTTGATCAGAGAAACCCTAGCTTCTTGTCCCCTCTTTATTTCACTTTTAATCTCAACCACACATCTCAAACACTCCTCTTCCCCATAACTCGATCGAACCCACTTCTCCTCCCACACTTAAAATTTCTGAAACATCTCTCTCTCTCTTCACCACAAGAAATTTCGAATTCCTCTTTTCTCTCTTAAGTTTTTGCATTTCCTCTTGTGCTTTCCTCTTGTTCTTCATTGTTTTGTTTGGGTTCTAGTTTACTGTTCTTCAATTCCATCATTCAAGCAAGGTATGAACCCTAAACCCTTGATTCTTCCATCTCGATTTCCACTATTGCTTGTTTCCTCTTTGATTTTTGATTGCATGTGTCCCTTGTGGGTTTGTTCTTGAGTAATTGCTCTATTTCATCTCTGTATAATCTTGTGAATTTGCCTCACCTCACCTCTGTTTTCATTAGAACTTGTTGCATGTGCTTGAAAATTGAATTTGAGTTTGGTATTGGTTAAGATGCTTATGTTTTCACTAGAATTGCTCATTGTTCCATTTACTAGTTGTTCTTGGTTCAATTTGATTGATTAGCATCCTTTCCAGCTCTTAATACTTGAATTAGGTTCGGTTATACTCTGTTTTCACCTAGCTCGATCGAGTTTGTCACTCGAGTTTTTTGACTCGATCGAGCTGAGTGTCGAGTTGACCAAACCGATCATTGCAACTCTAATTCTTTGATTTTGATGCATTTCAGGTACTTTAGTGAAGAAACAGAGTGACAAGGATGACAAACAGTGAGGGAAGCCGCGCTTCACAGAGGAGAATGGTTGAGGGTGAATCAAGCAATGCAAGGGAAGAGAAGGCTTAAGATGCAAGCCGATTTGGAGAGGATGATCAGAGGATGGAAGAATCTGATGCAGAGGATATGTCTACTCTGAGGAGCAGTCTGAGAGTGAGAGATTGAGGGAGAAAGGAGAACCAAGAAGAGGAATGACCCATTAGTAGTGAGAGTGAGCAAGGGGAGTTTGAGATTGGAGTGAACCTTGTTCAAGAGGAGGGAAATGGCTCTCCAAGTGAAGAAGGAAGTGATGAGACTGAGAGTGAAGAGGAAGGAGAAGAGGTGAATCATTGGTTGAGAAGTGAGCAAGAGAACCAAGATGAACCAATGGAGGAGGTTGAGAAGAGGCAAGAGGAGGATGAGCTCCCCATGTACCAAGAGCACTACAATGCTCTCTTCTCCATGGACTTCATGGATACCAAGTACCCACATGTTGACACAATGAAGGCCCTTGGAATCTTTGAGGATGTGGAGCTGGTCTCAAGAACATGCACTTGGCCAAGTTCTTCTCTTATCACATGGAATCCTACAAGGAGCTCACTTGCGAGTTCTTAGCTTCAATGAGGTACCACATGTATGAGAGAAGATAGAGCTGATTTGGACCAAGGATTGGGATGGATCACGTTCTTGGCTAAGGGAGAGAAGAGAATGGTGACCTTTAGGCAGCTGGAGATCTTGTTTGGGTTCAACTATGGAGAGGGTACCAAGTGGAACTTCAAGGAAAAGGAACTCCAAAGGGTTTGGGCTACAATCGCTGATGGAGTGTACTCTTCCTCAAGGTCCAAGGCAGCTCAGATCAGGAGCCCAGTCTTGAGGTATGTGCACAAGGCACTTGCCAACACCTTCTTTGCAAGGAAGGCGACCGGGACAATCAACGAGGGGGAACTCAAGTTTCTTGACATGGGAATCAAGCCCTTCTCTCACGCACAAGCGATGGCAAGAGGATCAGGGGAGATAGATCTGACACAGGGAACTTGATGCCTTCCTTGACCATCTCCTTACCTACAAGATCACAGCTTACAACACTAGCATCAACGAGGAAGGCGCTAAGTGTTGGAGGGCTCATCACACCTATCTTGTGTGCTGCTGGAGTGAACCCAACTGATAGAGAGCCACTGAACCAGGTTGGATGGACATCAAGTTTTGCAAGACCAACCTTCTCATTGAGCACAAGGAGTTGGATGGGAGATTCCAATTCAAGTTCACACATCCATTGGCTGGACCTCCAAGCTTCTCCTGCCCTAACCCAGAGCTCACCACAGTAGTAAGGGGTGAGAACATTGACTTCAGACCCCCTGTGTACACATTAGTTGGGCATGAGGATGATTTGCGAGAAGAGGAGCCTGAGCTCGATCGAGCTGATCGAGCTGAGGATCGAGCTGAGGATCGAGCTGAAGATCAGGGTCCAGGAGAGTGCGGATTTGGGTGAGCCTGAGTGCTATTACTTTGAGGAGTATGAGGCTCCAAGGATGAACCCCTCTGTTGTGGCTGCCACAAGAGGATTGGACTTCTCCAAAAGTTCAACAAATGGCAAGGGAAAGCCATTGAGAAGATGCAAAAGTCCATGGACAAGATGGTGAGCAAGATCAAAAGTTTGGAGAAGAAGGTTTCTGGTTCTTCAAGCAAGAAGAAGAAGTCCAAGGCCCCCACATTCCCTAGGAGTAGATCACTCCTCACCACCCAAGGAGGCTCCCTGCCCAAGAGCCTCACAGAGCCTCTTCTTTCGAGCCAAGGGAAGGAGAAGACAACACGCAGAGAAGGAGGAAGACTTCCAAGGCCAGACGCTCCAGCTCGACCACCGGACTCGATCGAGTCCAAACAGAGGAAACTCAACTCGATCGAGCTGAGGGTCGAGTTGACCTGGAGGAGCCCCATTGAGGATCCGGGATTTGAGTACGATCAACCAGTACCAGGACTTCTCCAGAGTAATGGACCCCTACAAGTCGAGCTAGCCAATGCTCCACCAAGGCCAAGGAGCCACACACTTTCAACGATGAAGAAGAGGAGAAGAGGAGCCGCAAGCTCGATCGAGTGAGAGGCAACCCCAGTTGCATGGAGTGCTCCTGATGGCCGTCTCCCATCTCCAGACCACGACCTAGTCTCCCAGTTCTTTGGGGGACACTGAGGTATCCAAACACCAACCCTTGTATATACCATTTCATATTTTCTTGCATTTGTTCTTGTTTTTTCTTGGTTTTGCCCTCTTGAATCTTTCACTAAATTTTTCTCACACAAGGGACTGTGTGATTTAAGTTTGGGGGAGGGTTCAAGAGATGATTTAACCTTGTTTTCTTTGTTCTTAGTTTTTCACATCTTTTGCATAGAAAAACCAAAAAAATCATAAAATTTTCAAAAAATCCAAAAATATTTTCATCTTTTTGCATTCATATTTGTTAGACTTGTTTAGGATTGCATTTTTCACTTGCATTGTTGATTTGACTTTGAAAACTTGTCCATCTTTTGCGATTTCTTGAGTGCCCTGTTTTTAGATTCTTTTGTGCATTAGGGTGAGATTGATTGAGCAGCAAGAACCATGTTTATCTTGATCATATCGCTGCATGCACATCTCATTCAACCATTGCTGTGATTTGATGCATTTCCCTATCTATTGAACCATAACTTGATCTTTAATTACCAATGCTTGCATTTGATTTCAACTCATGGCTACCACATACATATCTGGACATTCTTTACCATTTTCATATCCCTTTGCTTGTCCAGATAGCTGATCTCTATCTTTGAGACAGTTACCACACCTTAAACCTAAGCCTTTTTCATTTCAAACCCCATTTATCTCTTGTGCGAATGTGAGAACCTTTCTTGGCCTTTC